TGGTGGTGACGGGCGGGGTGGAGACGAGGGGGGTGGGGGGATGGAGAGGGGGGTGCTACCCCCCAGCACTCACCCCCCTGTGTGCTGTGTGCTCTCGTCTGCACCAGCACTTGTCACCTCGGGTAGAGAAGGCTGGAAGTAAAGCAAGAATTGTGGCTTTGTTAGTAAGAGAGAGATGGAGAAAAAGGGAGATGACAAGGAGGGAGGAGGTTGCAGTTGATCAAGTCAACATTGCAGTGTGCAACGAGAGTGTTGAGGAAGTAGTTGAAGGTAATGATAATTATGGTGCTAATGTGTGTGTGTGTGTGTGATGGGCTTCCAGTGTGGGTATGTACTGAAGTAGTCGTTCCTGTCTCTTTAGTTCAGCAAAGATGCAAATCCACAAGGTGATTTAGCAAATTGAGTCTCAATAATAAGCATATTAATTAACTGGAACCTAATAAATGAGGACCTCGCATAAATAAGCTGGGAAGAATAGCTAAATAAAAATGGCTAAACCCAAATTTATAACTCAAACTTAATAGGCACAGAATAGACATAATCCACATTACATACTAAGAAAAAAATAAGAAGTAGGCGAAGAGGCTACTGCCAAAACTGCTCTCTGGAGAACGTCAAGAAAGGCTACGTACAGGAACACAAGGTCTGGATCTGAAACCGTAAGAATCGTATCAAATCCAGAAGAGACGAACAGAGAGCAAAAACTATTAATCAAAATTGAGAAACCCCAAAATTATTTCTTCGCCTATACAAACTCACAGAACAAAAACCTCACCCGGTATTGGTCCCTTGCGAAAGAAAATGTCACGTTCTCTGGTGACAATAGCACATCACTGTAATACTGAGACACTAAGACACACTGCAAATCTGCTTCACACTGATGATTGACCACCTAAATTAATTCCTTTATGAACGTGACATCATCGTGGACTCATACCTCACACGTCACACTTAAGCCCACTGGACTTGTAGGGTGTAGTCCAGTGGGCTTAGGGTGAAGCAGCCATACCATGCATCCACTGCCCAGGCCCAGAGTCATGGAATTCCATATTCATTAAGGTTTTAATACAATCAAATTACCACAGACCCTAAACAGGATGTGGAAACATAGCCTAAATTCCGGTATTATCCCTGACACCTTGAAACAGCGGAGATGTGCTGCTCCAGAAAGGATGGGGGGGGGGGGGCGCAAGGAAGCAGAAACAAACAATTGTAGACCACTAGTACAAGCACCACACCGCATATGGAACCACATGTACATCATCCTGGACAACATATGTTTACAGGACACTTTTTACTGTTCACAATTGCTAGACTACTATGGTATGGATGGCATCACTTTGGTGATGGATGACATGGGGAGTGTTACTGAGGCACATAATAAGTTGAGGAACTGAGCCTTTCAGTTCATTTAGTTAATCAAGTAACAATTTTGTGAAGCTAGTTACACAAAAATAAAAAATAAATAAAATGTTTATTTAGGTAAGGTACATACATACAATAAATTTTTACAAAGAATGGTTGACTTATAGGTAGAGCTAGTACATACAATGCCTAAAGCCACTATTACGCAAAGCGTTTCGGGCATTCGTTTCGGACAACTTTTTTTTTTTAACACAAATACACTTATTTATATCAATAGTCTTTTTTATATCGTACGTGATTCAAGAAGTGGCCTACAACAGTCTATGTACAGGCTGCCTACATCTGCGGGGAGTCAGTTGGGGGTAATTGCACACAAGATGCACTCGGAGGGAATATGTCACAGTGAGATGACGGAGCTTTTAAGTTCCTAAAGATCAAAACCCCAAAGTGTAACAGTCAACAAAGTCAAATCTAGATCATCCACCGTGAAAATTCTAGTTCCTCTGGTGCTCTTCTTCATTGTCGTATCCGATATAAACAGAGGGACACACAAACTATACTTCTATATCACTATTTGCAGATAACACTGAGGATTTATATGAGCGTAGAAATAATAGAGGACAGAGCAGACCTCCAAACCTGTGTGTGTGTAAACCTGGTCTTGTGCAGTCGGCCACAAGACAATCTACTGTTCCCTGCGGGCAAGTGTGCCTCCTGCGCTATGGTAAAAACGATGACATAAAAACCGGAGGCACATACAGCGTAGTCAGACCACACAGTGGAAAGGGAAGGGATATATATTTCAATAGTAATCAGGGGAAAAACGCCAAGCCCTTACCACTTCCCCACACAGTGGAAAGAAACAGCAACACGACAGATTTTTTTTGGAAGTTAGCATGTCGGAAGAGCTTACTTTAGAAGAGCTTAGCAAAATAGTTGTTACAACTGCAAGGAAATGACAGGTTGGATAACAGATCCTTTCAAACAGAAGATACTAGACCAAGGATGATAATTTTAAGACAGTGTTGTCTAGGGTGGAAGATTGTTGCATACTTAATTAATTAACAGCCCCATTGAGCTGGAGTTTTTTTTTTATTTATAAGATAAACATGCAAAATAAGGGCAAGAAAGAACAGACAGGGGAACATGAAACAGACATGAAGGGTAAAACCAAATAACACACAGCCTTGAACCATGTACAGGACACACAACTCTTTGTTTCATCTACGTCCCAGTGCCAGGTACACCATCAAAGGCCTTTGAATAATTCTGAGTTAAGAAGCACATCTTGTTACATGTGCTTGGCAAATTGCCTCGTTCGTCCTAACATATGAGCTCATACATGAACCTCAGGGTGCGGCAGCCCCCTAGGATCCCCCATGACGCTTCTTGTTACAATGTTGCGTCGAATACCCTTACCGTTACAAGGCGGTAACGGTAGTGAGGAAAACGCTGGATCCCAGTAACAGTTCTAGCAGCCCGGGCAAGCAGACTTCCTCCTGTGTGTGACTGGGCTGTACACACGCGTGCTTCAAGTCCTCGATAGCTTGGCCAACTTACGGGAGTATATATGTGTCAAAGTGATGTTGTCTAGCATCAAGTGGGAACATGTTGGTGAGAGGCGCGTGGTGGACGGCTTGTCTGGCGGTGAGCTGAGTGGACGGCAAGTCACACTTGGTAGCAAGCTGTACCTTCCGCCTCCCCGAAAACACACACACACACACACACACACACACATACATACATACATATTCATTTCTTGGCGGAGGCGGAAATAAATGGACAGTTTCTTTCACCCTGATGCAGCTGTTCACCTTGCAGTAAATAGGTACCTGGCAGTTACAGATCTGATACGGACTACTTCCTGGGGTGTGTGTGTGTGTGTGTGCGTGTGTTAGAGAAATACATGTAGTAGACATTATAGGAGAAAAATAGATTGGTTAGAAAGGCGGGGTCCAAGAGCTATTGGCTCGATTGTGCAGGCACAAATAGTAAATACACACTCGCGCGCTCACACCAGACTAGTCCCGGTTCTGAGAGGTATTAATTACAAGGAAAGGCTACTAGAATTAAATCTCACGGCACTGAAAGACAGAAGAGTTAAGGAAGACATGATCACCACCTACAAACTTCTCAGGGGAACTGGCAGAGTAGATCTAGATACACTATATAGCATGGGTGGAACACGGACATGAGGGGGGGACTCAGGTGGAAACTTTGCCCCCAAATGAGCCACAGAGGCATTACAAGGAATTTTGTCAGAGTAGTTAACAATTGGAAGGCATTAGGAAGAAATGTGTGGTGAAGGCAAACTCCATACACAGTTTCAAATGTAGATATGAAAGAGCCCAATAGGCTCAGGAACCTGTACACCAGTTTATTGACGCTTGAGAGGCGGGACCAAAGAGCCGAGGCTCGACCCCCGTAAGCGTAAGTTGAGTACACCTACACATTGAGGCAAGACCACTTGAGGGTCAGCTTAATGCCCGTCTGCCCCTCTACAAGGAGCACGCTCAGAGCACAAGCTAGGCTAGAGCACAGGCTAGGCTAGACCCGGGACGCTCAGAGCACAGGCTAGGCTAGACCCGGGACGCTCAGAGCACAGGCTAGGCTAGACCCGGGACGCTCAGAGCACAGGCTAGGCTAGACCCGGGACGCTCAGAGCACAGGCTAGGCTAGACCCGGGACGCTCAGAGCACAGGCTAGGCTAGACCCGGGACGCTCAGAGCACAGGCTAGGCTAGACCCGGGACGCTCAGAGCACAGGCTAGGCTAGACCCGGGACGCTCAGAGCACAGGCTAGGCTAGACCCGGGACGCTCAGAGCACAGGCTAGGCTAGACCCGGGACGCTCAGAGCACAGGCTAGGCTAGACCCGGGACGCTCAGAGCACAGGCTAGGCTAGACCCGGGACGCTCAGAGCACAGGCTAGGCTAGACCCGGGACGCTCAGAGCAAAGGCTAGGCTAGACCCGGGACGCTCAGAGCACAGGCTAGGCTAGACCCGGGACATTGCTGCTATATAACTTCATCTTCCAACCCGCACTTCCCTTTTATGTTTTTCTTCTAATTTGTGGTTATACTAATTTCCATATAACTAATTTCAAATAATCAACTCCTTTCTAAATAAGTGTTTGTGCATGTAATGAAACAATTTTTTTTTTCAATAATAATAAAGTATTCCCTCATGGGATAGGTTTTACAGCCAGAATAGACAAATAAGTAAGGAGAACCCAGGGCTTTTAATGTTGGTTTGTGTGAGGCTTGTTGATAGTTTAGCTCCGGACTCAGCAGCTGGGAATACTGCTACACAGCTTCACATTTTAACACCTTGAATCCTCACAATGTTGAAATTAACAGTTCTGTGCGAACATTTGCCATTTTGTAACTGTAATGCTTGTGTCTGAAATAAAGCAGCGTTACAGTTGTAGGGATAACGCATATGAGAGATAACGCCTTGGCTAGTCTTTTGATAGCGTTGTAGTAGAGCTTGGCGTTGGTGCTCCATCTAGTGATGGGGCGTAGAGTGAGGTTGGTTGGTGGGTTATGGTGCGGTAAGGTGGGTTGCGAGACTCCCCTAATGGCGTCTTGGCCCGCTCGGCCCGCTAACCCCCCCTCCCCCCGGCCCACCCCAACAGTGGCTGCGTGTCCTGGCCCGCTCGGCCCGCTAACCCCCCGGCCCGCCCCAACAGTGGCTGTGTGTCCAGCCCCGTCCGTAGACTCTCCGGCTTCTCCCAGTGGAAGCGAGTGGCTACAAAGTTGGGAGTCAAGTAAGTCAGCGGCGCTGCACCCTCCCGTCAGTCAGTCCGCACGCCCATACCTGCCCTAGCAGCCCCCCTATAGGTCCTCAGTCTGCCTGCCATCCTTTAGTGTAGAGGTAGTGAGCTGCATCAGTCATGGATGTGTGCACGGCCTTCATCATCAGCAGGTGTGTGTGTGTGTCCCCCACCACCACACCTGCTCACCACACAACACACCCACTTCAACACCCCCATTCTACACAACCGCGGATTTTTTTTCTTCAGTTAATAGATTTGTTTTCGTAAAAAAAAATAAAAAAAAAAATATGGAACTGACAATTCCGCTATGACGAGCACACGTATTAAAGAAAAATGTGTGCAGATTTGTTTATAATTTGTTAATATAAGCTTTAGAACTGGAAAAGTTTGCTTATGTATTCAGAAATGTGATAAATTAATACAGAGCTCTAGACGTCCTCTCAGTTGTGAGGTAGGTCAATGCTTCCTCCCCCATGGTAGCCTTCCCCCATGGTAGCCTTCCCCCATGGTAGCCTTCTCCCATGGTAGCCGTCTCCTATGGTTGCCTTCCCCCATGGTAGCCGTCCCCCATGGTAGCCGTCCCCCATGGCAGTACACAACGATTGGTGATACGCCGATGCTCATTTGTGCCCTACATTAGGCTGGAAACATGGGCACAAATTCGCTTTGGCATTTCAATTCTGTTACGCCCACATGGACCAAAAAGTGTTGAGCCTACGTTATAACTAAGAGGATGCTAGCTCGACCCCCCATTTAAAGATCGGTGGATTGCATGCGCTCATTCGTGCTCGTGATAAAGAAAACTTGTAGTTGTAAATTATTCACTTCATACGAGCGCATAAGACGCGCGCACACATCGTCTTATGCGATGCTACCCTGACAATATTAAAAGGGTATTAGACGCAGGATGTGTGGTTGTGAGAAGGGTGGTGAAGATGGTGTCACCGCGGGCGAGCAACACGCGTCCTGCTTGAAGAGCACAAACTCCCTCGAAAGACTTGCTACCTGGAAGAACGTTATAAAGGATGGGTGTTTTTGTGGGGCATTCTGTTTCGTGGATAATTTATCCAGGACGACTACTGCCCCGAAGAAGCCCCTTCCTGAAGGATGTATACTGCCTGTCAATGCTTCGGGAGGAAGTTCTTCCTGTCTGACGGTGCTTCAGGAGGATGTTCTTCCTGCCTGACGGTGCTTCAGGAGGATGTTCTTCCTACCTGACGGTGCTTCAGGAGGATGTTCTTCCTGCCTGACGGTGCTTCAGGAGGGTGTTCTTCCTGCCTGACGGTGCTTCAGGAGGGTGTTCTTCCTGCCTGACGGTGCTTCAGGAGGGTGTTCTTCCTGCCTGACGGTGCTTCAGGAGGATGTTCTTCCTGCCTGAAGGTGCTTCAGGAGGATGTTCTTCCTGCCTGACGGTGCTTCAGGAGGATGTTCTTCCTGCCTGACGGTGCTTCAGGAGGGTGTTCTTCCTGCCTGATGGTGCTTCAGGAGGGTGTTCTTCCTGCCTGATGGTGCTTCAGGAGGGTGTTCTTCCTGCCTGACAGGGCAACACCTGCCGCGCCAGCTGGTCACGTGTTGCTCACCTGTAATGTGTTTACATCTATGTCGATCAGTGTTGTCTCTTGGTGTTCCATGTTTTTATTCTCGTCGTTACTTTGTTTTAATTGTTTAAATAGCTTTGATGGAATTAATTACGAAGATGTTTGCAATGGAATACCGTTTTATGAATGCTTGTGCTAATGCAAATGCATCTTTATTTTTTCTTGTTAATATGTTTTGCCGGATTTTTTTTTTTTATTTCTTGGTGAATGTTGCCATCGTGGTTAAGCTTCCATTGTTTTGCAATTTTAATTCCGGAGGTCTAAAGTGGTCTTGTTACAGCAGTATTTGCCGGTCTTAGTGCATATATATATGCAACTTTCTGCATGCGTAGGATGGGAAGCTATCTACTCACTATTTTCTCTGTTGTGTGTGATGTTTGTATATATATATATATATATATATATATATATATATATATATATATATATATATATATATATATATATATATATATATATATATATATATATATATATATATATATATATATATATATAATATATATGTTCTTACACTGTTGTTCCATTAATATTGTTAACTGTACCACTGATGAACAAAGAGTAGACATCACTTTGTTTGCTGGACATTCTGTACGGCTTAGAGTTCTTTCTTTTCTTATTTGTTCTTTTCTTTCTCACTTTTTTTGCTAGGTTTCTCATCTGATCTTTGCTTCTCGCCTGTTCTTTGTATCTGTCTTGTCCTTTGTTTCTCCCTTGTCCCCCATGTTACTTATCCTTTGTTTCTTCTTAATCCCATGTTTCTTTCTCGTCCTCTGTTTCTCATTTGAGTTTTCCCCTGCAGCGTAATCCTTGTTATAGTAACTTTTTTGTTGTCTGTATGCTCTTGTGTTGTCTAGACTAGCATTTATTGCAATTTATTTCCCAATTCTTAGTTTTCTTCTTGTGCAAGATATTAGCTGCCCAAGATGATCATTAATTACGGTGCCCCCAAGCTGGGTAGTTGGTCCCATGACGTTTCGTAACAATGACAGTGGTTATACACACGGGTAGCTCAAGTATGGGTATACAGTTATTATGCTCTGTTGTTATAGTCAGCACAGAATAGTTGGTGCTGACCGAAGCTTAAACGCTCGTGTGGTTGTGTTTGAAGCAGCGACTTGACTGCCGATTACGAGTAAACAGACTGTCCGGTAACGCCCCCTGAGAGGAGAGTCTGGTGGTAGAGATAGGAAGAGAGAGAGAGAGAGAGAGAGAGAGAGAGAGAGAGAGAGAGAGAGAGAGAGACTATCATATGTAAAGGGGAGGGAGAGCGCTGTAATATATTAAACAAGATGAGGGATAGATCACCGTGATTTTGAAGTGTAGTGTGCCATGTGTGAGTATGGGGAGTATATGTACTGTGCCATGTAAGAGTAAAAAGAGTGTGTTTACTACCATTAGAGTGCCAGTGAGCTCTCCTGCTGGTGCAGAGCTGGTGTGTCTGCTCTTCACGCTGCACAACTTTTCAATATTAGCCATTAGTTTCACAAATGAACGCGTTAAAGTGAAATAAAACACTTGCTTGTTGAATGGACGTTGCTTTTGTGTGTGGCCAGGAAAGTGATTGGTGGGGAGAGAGCGAGTGAGTAAGAGAGGGAGAGGGCGGCTCTCCAACGGACCTGCGGTGGTGGAGACGTAATTTTTGAATAGGTTAAGCAAGTAGGCGGAATTTATATATCCTTACAAATTCCCTGTAGCAAGACTAATTCCAGTGCACCACACAGTGTTTACACCTCGAGGTACGACGCAGTAGGTCACGTCGTACCTCGGAATATTCCGGAGAATATTCCGAGGTACAACGTGACTCCGGAATATTCCGGAGAGCCGGTGACCTGCCACGTCGTTATGGGAACACGACTCCCAGCGGGCTGTGTGTGCATAAACGCCGCGGGCGAGACCCGAACGACAGGACCTGGTGTGGGACGACGCGGCCCAAGGCTTCTGGCGCATCCTGCAGCCCGTCCTCCCGTCATATTGTAGCCTATCCTCCCGTCTAGCCAGCCCGTTTTCCCGTTTAGCCAACCCGTCCTCCAGTAGTCCAGTTTAGCCAACCCGTCCTCCAGTAGTCCAGTTTAGCCAACCCGTCCTCCAGTAGTCCCGTTTAGCCAACCCGTCCTCCAGTAGTCCAGTTTAGCCAACCCGTCCTCCAGTAGTCCAGTTTAGCCAACCCGTCCTCCAGTAGTCCAGTTTAGCCAACCCGTCCTCCAGTAGTCCAGTTTAGCCATCCCGTCCTCCAGTAGTCCAGTTTAGCCAGCCCGTCCTCCCGTTTAGACAGTGCTTATAGTAACGGTATGGATCATCTTACGTATATTGCCGTAAATGGACAGTTAGAAAGTAGAATTCGGCACTGTCAAATTTGGACGACGTGGTAAAAGTATGTTGTAAATATAACTAGCCAAACCTAACCATCCTAGGCCTAATACAGGCTACCTTAGGCCTAACAAAGTACATATACTTTATGTCCCATACTAGGCCAAGGAATATTTAAATTTGGTTTTTAGCTTCATATTTTCCGGACTCTTAAAACTCTTTATAAAGGGAATAGGACCCAATTCTACTATAAAATTGTTCATTACGTCAATGAATTACGTCATTACGTCAATTCATTACGTTCATTACGTCCAATGTGTTCATATAGTTGTAAAAAATGCTATCTGAACAGGAGGATGGGGTGGATACCCATTATTTGTGGAGACTGACAGACTTATTTCCTTGTTATTATTTCTTTATTTCTAGTCTGAATTTATGTACTGACGCGTGTTCTTCTGTCTCAATTTAAATATTAATGTCGCTGAAGAAAATGGGTTAAGAGTTCAATAAAATGCTTTTTTTTTAATTGCATTATAAACTACACAAATGTTATGCTTAAGAAAATACTAAGAATATTGGTGTTAATTGTTTGTCTTAACGTGCTGTCATTTTAGATATAATCTAAAAGCTATCAGAAAATAGATATTTTCTATAACTGTGTGCACCCCTATACCATTTTTTCCCCCCTCTAGTTATTGTGGGCGTCGTAGGCAGGACAACCACCAATTCCTGTAGGTAGTTCACTGCCTACTGTAGTGAACTACCTCCCGTAGGAAGTTCACTGCCTACTGTAGTGAACTACCTCCCGTAGGAAGTTCACTGCCTACTGTAGTGAACTACCTCCCGTAGGAAGTTCACTGCCTACTGTAGTGAACTACCTCCCGTAGGAAGTTCACTGCCTACTGTAGTGAACTCTCGTGTCCCTGTAGTTGCCATAAGTGCTCCCCACTGTTGTGTTGTGTGTGTGGGCCTCGGGTTGCCATGGGCGTTCTCATCCCTGCCGTGTTTCGACAAGTTGTCATAATGTTCTTTTATAATTTCCCCCTGATCCTTATGGTTACCGTAGTTTTCCATTGTACCTACACCCTCCTCCCTATTGTTACCGTAGGCTCCTGTTGTACTCACCCTGATCCTTATGGTTACCTTAGGTGTCTATGGTACTTACAGTTTCTCCTTGTTACCCGTTAATATTATTTTGTTTTCAAGTTGCAATACGTTCTTCAGTATCGTATCGTTATGAAAATTCGTTGTTATATTATACTTACCCATTTGTTGTGGTTTCTCCCTTGGTGTTATTTTCTGTCTGCAGTGGCCATTAACACCCAAACTAAACGCATCCGGAACCTTTGTTAAATATTGATGTGACTCTTCCACCTTAAACTTGATATATCGTACTGTCTGTCTCTCTCTGTCTCTCTCTCTCTGTCTCTCTCTCTCTCTCTCTCTCTCTCTCTCTCTCTCTCTCTCTCTCTCTCTCTCTCTCTCTCTCTCTCTCTCTCAGAGAATATATATATATATATATATATATATATATATATATATATATATATATATATATATATATATATATATATATATATATATATATATATATATGTGTGTGTGTGTGTGTGTATATCACGAAAATAAACACGTGATTAAAAATGTGACAATGTCAGACCACGGAGGAAAAATGAAACAGGAATTTCCTTAAGTACTTTCGTATATTAATACATCTTCAGAAGGAGTGACTCCTTCTGAAGATGTATTAATATACGAAAGTACTTAAGGAAATTCCTGTTTCATTTTTCCTCCGTGGTCTGACATTGTCATATATATATATATATATATATATATATATATATATATATATATATATATATATATGTCGTACCTAGTAGCCAGAACTCACTTCTCAGCCTACTATTCAAGGCCCGATTTGCCTAATAAGCCAAGTTTTCCTGAATTATTATATTTACTATAATTTTTTTCTTATGAAATGATAAAGCTACCCTTTTCACTATGTATGAGGTCAATTTTTTTTATTGGAGTTAAAATTAACGTAGATATATGACCGAACCTAACCAACCCTACCTAACCTAACCTAACCTATATATATAGGTAAGGTTAGGTTAGGTAGCCAAAAAAAGCTAGGTTAGGTTAGGTAGGTTAGGCTGACGAAAAAACATTAATTCATGAAAACTTGGCTTATTAGGCAAATCGGGCCTTGCATAGTAGGCTGAGAAGTGAGTTCTGGCTACTAGGTACGACATATATATATATATATATATATATATATATATATATATATATATATATATATATATATATATATATATATATGTCGTACCTAGTAGCCAGAACGCACTTCTCAGCCTACTATGCAAGGCCCGATTTGTCTAATAAGCCAAGTTTTCATGAATTCATTTTTTTTCGACTACCTAACCTACCTAACCTAACCTAACTTTTTCGGCTACTTAACCTAACCTAACCTATAAAGATAGGTTAGGTTAGGTTAGGTATGGTTGGTTAGGTTCGGTCATATATCTACGTTAATTTTAACTCCAATAAAAAAAATTGACCTCAAACATAATAAAATGGGTAGCTTTATCATTTCATAAGAAAAAAATTAGAGAAAATATATTAATTCAGGAAAACTTGGCTTATTAGGCAAATCGGGCCTTGCGTAGTAGGCCGAGTACGACGTTCTGGCTACTAGGTACGACATATATATATATATATATATATATATATATATATATATATATATATATATATATATATATATATATATATATATATATATAATGTCGTACCTAGTAGCCAGAACGCACTTATCAGCCTACTATGCAAGGCCCGATTTGCCTAATAAGTCAAGTTTTTATGAATTGTTTTTCGACTACCTAACCTACCTAACCTAACTTTTTCGGCTACCTAACCTAACCTATAAAGATAGGTTAGGTTAGGTAGGGTTGGTTAGGTTCGGCCATATATCTACGTTAATTTTAACTCCAATAAAAAAAATTGACATCATACATAATGAAATGGGGTGCTTTATCATTTCATAAGAAAAAAAATGAGAAAATATATTAATTCTTGAAAACTTGGCTTATTAGGCAAATCGAGCCTTGCATAGTAGGCTGAGAAGTGCGTTCTGGCTACTAGGTACGACATTATATATATATATATATATATATATATATATATATATATATATATATATATATATATATATATATATTGCTAATAACATTTATAATTCATATAAATGTAATTGTTTTATATATGCAGACGATGAGTCACAATAACGTGGCTGAAAAACTGATGATCAAACCACAACTCGGAAGCTGGAGAAGCGACGACGTTTCGGTCCGTCGTGAACCATCATCACGTTGTGTGATAATGACTTGGTCCAGGACGGACCGAAACGTCGTCTATAGTCGCTTCTCCGTCTTCTGATGTGCGCGGTTTGGGTCTTCATTGATTTATATATATTTTCACTAGTATTTTGGAGGCTTAGCCAAAAGAACAGAGTAACATATGTGTTTTTACTTTTTTCCGGTTTAGTAAATCTCCAGTAACTTTATACGATGTTTTAACTCTTATACGGACCACTCTGCAAGCTACCTCACTGCTGATTGGTGTTGCTAACCTCTCTCTCTCTCTCTCTCTCTTCTCGGGTGTTGGTGTTTGACTGTGTGTGTGTGTGTGTTGATGTATTACCCTCCCTGATGATGTTGCTGCTCTCTTAGTATCGGTGTGTTGTTCCCGCCAATACAAGAGGCGCGTTGTAACCTAGTGTTTGTGTTTTTTTTTTTGACGTAAATACTGTTTTAGGAGTGAGTTTATTTTATACTTACTCGTGTGTTGTGGTGACTTATGTGTGTGTGTGTGTGTTTGGAGTTATCGCGGCGTTTACCTAGAAGCCTCTGTGGCTTGTGCAGAATAACATTTAGAAAAAATTAATTATCCACAAAAAAATATTAGGATACGTCATTATTGTCTGTTTGGTCCGAATATTTACATTTTTTATTTTGGCTAATTGTTAATAAATGAGTCCATCGCCGCGTAAATTAAGCAGTTTCCCCAGATGATTAATAATTGTAAATGGTTTACAACGTTGACAATCCATATTGTGGTTATTTTATGGTCACTTTGTTAGTTTTCTTGTTTAAGTGCTTTACCAGAATTATTAAATAGAGTATTTACATATTAATTTGACTGATATATATATATATATATATATATTTACAAACTAATTATCTTATTCTTTTTCCTTCATTTCCTCCCAAAATCTTTCGTTCAATCTCAATTTTGTTCTTCACAAACTCTACTGGGCTCTTTTATCCTTTTTTTTTCTTTTCTTATCACATCTGTTTTCATTTATTTACTTCTGGTGCTTCGCTTCTGCGCGTGTGGATGTTCGTCTGTCCCATCACTTGTGTCTTCTATCTCGGTGTCCCCTTCCATGGCACCCTGTTCCTCTCGGTTCTCCCTTTCCTGTCCTTTCATTTCTAAACTTTGCTGCCCCCTCCCCTTCCACGTCTTCACCTTATACCCTGATCCGTCCCCGCCTTTCCCGTTTCTCTCCCTCCCTCCCTCTGCCCCCTACCCTCTCTCCCCCACAGCAAGGTACAGAGTGAGGAGAAGGAAGCAGAGCTCCTGCCCCATGATGTGGCTGACGCTAAGTAAGTACACTTTTCCTCTACGTAACCATCATCACTATCATCATTCTCATCACCATTATACTTTATCACTGTTACCATTGTACAGTGAAACCACAGTATGTCATTATTTCTTCTGTGTTATTCTCCATACTTCCATACGGCCAAACACTGTGTTTCTAGCAGGGGCAAGATGAGTCAGTGGAGAAGGTCGTGTGCCTAACACACAACCCATGTGATCCTTGGACCTTATCAGTGAAGATGCTTCGCTACTGTGCACTACGGTTTATATTACTGAGGCAGTGTCGGGCCAGCGAGTAATAATAATAATTCCCTTGGTAAGACTGGAGCGTAAATGTCACAAGATCATGTGTTATTAAGATTGAAGTGTGTGTGTAGATTTGAACAAAATGCCTCTTGATTAATTTATCAGAATTTCTAGAGATTTGCTTGTGCACAGGAATTGATTCTGAGCGTTGCTGCGATGGAGACGCGTACGTCTTGCCCACAATGGACAAATTCCTAGAATTCGTACATTGTCATATATCATCCGTCATTATTAAACTCTCCTGTATCCTTATCTTATCTACAATATTATCTGCATATCGACTGTTGCTAATGTTTTGTTCGCTTGTCATAGAGTTTAGTCTCGTTTCCGATTACAAACCATGCTTTCGTGTGGCTGGGTATTGCAAGTTTTATGTTTACAAGTTGCGTATTTCTTATCCTTAGATTAACAATCGGTTACCTGTGTGCTAGAATATTGACAGACCATTGATAACAAAGAGAGTGAAGAGGTGGTGGGGTTAGCTGTGGTCGCCAGCGCTATCACTAAGTGCCACTGATTAGTGAGTGGACCAGTTTCCTGGGCGACAGGCATACCTCAGTCTGCAGGGTCTACGGAACGAGTTCCTTTGTTAACTACGGAACAGGCTCCTTCGTTAAAGGCAGAATGGCAGGCCTGGTTAACATCGCGCCCATTTGACTGTCACTTTCACCAGCTTGTTTGAAAAGTTATTGTTCTTCTAGATCTACTAATATGGCCTGCGTATTTATACAGGTTAACAACGTAATCTACGGAACCATGTTGCAAAGTCGCAGTTACTGCAGTTGTGTCACGTGTGGTGCTTGTTAAACTATAAGGTTGGGTGCTAAACATTGTGAATCATGTTTGAAAGGATGCAATATGATGGTTCACCAAAGATCGATTATAACGCAACTCCGTGAATGAGTCTTCGCACCAATGCAAACAAAAGAATGGTATTTAATTATATTATGGGTATTTAAATGAAAATATTTGTTTGAAAATGTAGTAAAGAAAATAATAGTGCAGTGACTGTAAAATGGGTTAAATGCCACGTGATTTAGGCTATTTCTGACACTCAGAATATTGAGTTGTTATAAATAATTTAAACGTAAACAGTTAAGTGGCGAATGTCTCTAGGGAATTCAAAGAAAATATTATGTCTAGACATTTCTTTGTTGAATAAAGCTAGGAAAACTGACCATAATGGCGCACCGTAAGATCGGTACCCTGAGGTCCAAATTTACAATTTCGCGGAGCCTCAATGACCTAACTCAAATTTTTATGGCGGATAAAAGTAAAAGTGTTGAAAATTTGTGTGAAGTAGGTATAGATAAGAGCGAGAATGAGAAGGTACAGAAAAAACAATCCAGAAGCTTTAAGCAAGTTAAATCCAGCAGTCACAAGGAACACAACAAATCCTTAAAACGAAAAGAAAAGGATGAAGCCAACAGATCCATTAAACGTAAAGACAAAGAGGAATACAGTTCTTTCTTCACCAAGCACAAGGAAAGGAGCGACTCCATCAAATCCAGAAAGCAAAATGAGAACAACGATGACAATAATTCTGTCAGCTTAGACACTGAGGTGATCAGCGACCAAGTTGACAACGATGAGGCGAAGCCAGTTCGTAGTCCAACGTCAGAATGTCTTCCTGTGGAGGGCCTGGTTACCGAACTGCACGAACCCACGAACATACTTGAGTAGGTGATTCGCCCATCATTTTGAGACAACAATTGAATATTTAGCGTGGATAGATGGTAGACTTAATCTCACCTCGAATTCATTTCAACCCAAGGTGAACAGGGTGCTATTATAGCCATACAGAAGGAAGTGTGGTATATGCGAGATATATACAGTTTCAGGGTTGACTTGTCAGTTCAGTGGTGAAATGAGATTAGTATCCATAATCATTGTTTATGATTAATATGTTTGTCTCATATCAGATACCGTGAAATAGAAATTAACACGTCTATATACTCTCATTTCAGATAGCGTTTAAAACTAACTTGTGATGTCAGAGTAAATGCTTTAATATGGGATACATAATAAAAGTGAATTTGTTGGAAATTCAAGAAAATTGTATTGAAACATCCATATTTCACTGTAATAAAACAAAAAAAAATTGTAAGATGCAAACATCAGTGCTTCAATATACATAAACACACTAAAAATATTTCTTGTCATTCCTATGTATAGACACTGAAATGTTTGTTAACCTTTACAATGTCGAGCCTAATAGCCAGAAGTGCACTTCTTGGCCTAGTATGCAAGGTTCGATGTGCCTAACAGGCAGAAGGATTTTCATTATTTTCAAATATTTCTTTCCGGATTGGTTCTTTTCTAACAATAATAATCTATTATACAGTATTAGGAACATGAATTACTGACATAAATATATTAGGTTATCTTGTGGTTACCTTTAGACGATTTTGGGGCTTAGCATCCCCAAGGCCCGGTCCTTGACCAGGCCTCCTTTTTGTTACCCCTTCCCCCCCCCCCCCCAGGAAGTAGCCTGTCGCAGCTGTTCAACTACCAGGTACCTGTTTACCGCTAGGTGAACAGGTGCATCTAGGTGAAAGCAACGCTACCCATTTGTTTCCGCCCTCACCGGAGATCGAACCCAGAACCTTAGGACTACGAAACCCAAGCGCTATCCACTCAGCTGTCAGGCCCCCTGAGTTATGGTTATGTTAAGTTAAAACAGGTTTGGATAGATTAGGTTTGATCAAATTTCTGTTAGTGTTGACTCAAATAACATAAAATTGCAATCATATATACAGTAATACAATGAAAACTTTATCAAAATAAAAAACTTTATCATTTCATAAGAAAAAAAAATTGGAAAAATTAAATATTTAATGAAAATTCAGCTTGTTAGGCAACTCTGGCTATTTGGTACACCAAATACAGAAATACAGTGTAACACCAAGAAGTGTACATCTCGATTTTTGCGTATATACCATGAGAGGTGTATTTCTCATTACTATATGTAAAGCACTTCTGTTTGTATATACACTGAGAAGTATATACTGTACAGGTTTAATTAAGGATGATATGCCAGTAAATTAGTACATTAATTTAATTTATTAATTAATTCTTAGATAAACATTAATTCAATAGGGAAGATGCCCATGATTACAGGGGCATAGAACATTTTAAGCTAAAACTCTGCCATAATAAATAAGTTTAAATGTATTGTTATTTGATTTAAAATGAGGACTTTCATAAACATACAACACAGAGGGTGTTAAACTACTGTAACTGAATTTTTGAATCAATTACAACGATTGTACGAATTAACTAGAGTAAGAACAATTTTTTGTTTATTTTCATTTCCAAACAGTTTTAATATTTGAACTTCGTATGTGTTTGTGTGAACTCGACTTATTTATGTTAATTTTGTTTTCTGTTAATAAAGCCTTTACATACTTGAATCCAGCATTTGTAAAGTTCTGTCAAGTATTGACATTTGATTCACTTGTATATTTCACTTTGCAGTATTCTGGAAGTCAACTCAGCATCTATGGAATCCTTGGATGATGGTGGTAATGAAGGTACAGGTGATGCCTTATTTATTTAGTCTTAAACAGTACTTCTTGAGTTTTTTATGTTCCTGAAAATTATTGAATAAAAAGCTTAAGTGAAAATAGTTACAATTAGTTAAAATATTTGTGTTAACCATAGTACAGTACATGTATTGTTTTCGTAAATGTTGAGTTAAGCTTTAAAGTATCTGCTGTCATGTTATACATTGTGCTGAGATACTCTACTGAAGGAGCTCTTTTTGTATTTCCTAGATTATGTTAATTTGAATTCACGTTTATTAAATTAGCAATAAGTAAACCTTTCAGTAATTTTGCCACGTCTCCTTTCAAGCTACATTTCTGTACTTGAGTATCTGCTACATATTAGCACTGTATAAATACAGCAAATAATTTTGACAAAGGATAACTTTTATCAAAATTATTTTGATAAACCATCTATGCACAGTATTAATATAGATAAATACTGTTTTGTAATTCTTTTTAATACACCTTGGAAAATAAATAAAGCTTTGTTACCTCTATTCTACACTGACTTAAACCTAATTATGTTAGTAAATACGTATTATGACACAAATTAAACATCAATAATTACAATAGATTAAAGAGGCTGATCAACAGTAAGCTCCTGAAAAAAATAAACTAGTTATCACTTCAAGACCTGATGCCTGTTTATAAACAGAAACGGTATAAATATATGAATATAATTCACGATGCATTAAACATTGATTTAAAGAAATTTGAACTGTTATTGTTACTTTGTACAGAGCCAAGTTTAGATGACATCGATGCCGATCCAGAGCTGAGATTATTAGAAAAGGAGCCTGACCTCTGGGTTCGTACAGTTGAAAAACATGTAAGTATTGACTGTATTGTCTGTACGACGACATATTTTCCTTTTCTAGATTTTCTGGTGTTGCACTTCTTGTACTTTTAAATCATAATAAATGATATATATATTGTGTGTTAATACATGACATATTGTTTTAGACTTCAGTTAAAATATTTTATTTGTTAAATATGAAAATTTGTAAATGCAATACTGTACACACTAACCATTTAAGTATTATACGTATATATAAACTAAATACATGTATAGTAGTTATTAAGTGTTAACTTGTTTTAATATGGACATGAAGCACTTTACATTTGATTTATCTGTATTATACTTTTTTCATGTTAGTAGTGCTGTCAACCCGAAGCCAAACTGAGGAAAATTGGATTATAAAGCTTGTTTTAACATCAGTATTTTATAAAGAATACAGGTGAATCATTTCTGAAATTATGCCAGATTATATTATTCAAGTGACTCTACAGTATTTGTACAGATATCCATTTTTTGCAAAATATATTCTTTGGTTTTGCAGGTGACAATTGCAATTGCCCCATTTCCCACGTTCATTTGGTGTAGATGAATAATGTGATTAAAATAGGTTTTAGGCATTGGAAAATATATACATCACTCGTCCATGTGTTACTCTACACTGTACAGTATATCATTCACACTCCAAATACAGTATAATATCACACAAACACAACCACATGCTTGCAGTCATCCAAAGTAGCACCCTAACCCTTCATAAAACCAGGTGAACAGATCTTCTCATCAATTGTCATATACTGTACAATTCAGATTTTGGTCATTCCCTTATTAATATGGTGATTAACAGTTCATCTTGTGAACTGTTATTCATTAACGTGAAGCATATTTTCTCAAACAGTGCAATGTAATTCTTGGCACGATATTATTTTAATCGAGGGTACAGTGTTCTTACTTTGGGCTACATAATTTACTTCACTTAGTGCGTGTGTGTGTGTGTGTGTGTGTGTGTGTGTGTGTGTGTGTGTGTGTGTGTGTGTGTGTGTGTGTGTATATACACATGGCATCTCCTTACCTTATCTTGAGGTTATCTTGAGGTTATCTTGAGATGATTTCGGGGCTTTAGTGTCCCCGCGGCCCGGTCCTCGACCAGGCCTCCACCCCCAGGAAGCAGCCCGTGACAGCTGACTAACTCCCAGGTACCTATTTACTGCTAGGTAACAGGGGCATTCAGGGTGAAAGAAACTTTGCCCATTTGTTTCTGCCTCGTGCGGGAATCGAACCCGCGCCACAGAATTAAGAGTCCTGCGCGCTATCCACCAGGCTACGAGGCCCCCTACGAGGACCTAATAGTCCTTGCAGGTTATCAGGATTAGTCCTTGGGCCCACCACTTTAGGACATCTGGAACAACTTAACTTAAAATTTCTCATGATTTTGTCAAATCTGCTTTTGAAGTTGTGTGTAGTTTCTGCCTCAATTTCCTCTTCTTTAGATGCATGAACCCCATGTGCATGTATCCAAATAAATTTGAATATGTGTTCTTGTGCAGAGGGTGTGTATCTGGGTTGTACCTGGTTGAAGTTCTGAAAGTTCTTCTAGTCCTTTCATTACATTCAACACATCCATTACGTTTTTTTTTTTTTTTTTTAAGATATCCTGTAAAATATGAGTATTGCAGGCTTTGTAATTTTCACCTGCAAACACAAAGAATATACTATAATATAAAATGTAAGTTTACAAAAACCCATAAAAACTAAATGTTAATTTTTATCTGCACTCTTTCAGGAAATTGACAAATTAACAGAGAAACAAGTGAAGAAGCAAGAGCACATCCATGAACTTATAATAACAGAAAAACACCACTGTCATATGCTCAAAGTTATGCAGAAAGTAAGTACCATAATCTCTGTTGCAAGCTAACAATTTAGGTTATAAGAAGTACTTTGATTTTTTATATTATCAATCATCTGTGGAGATTTTCTTGACCTCTGACTGATTTCTTTTCCTTTTCACAAGGTTATGCAGTTTGAGTGGAGAGTTTTTGCCTTTGTATGTGCCTATCTATATACAAAAAAAGTGCCTATTCTATGCTGTTGTTTTGAATTATTCTTTGATATAATTCTTTATCTTTTCAGGTACTTGCAGAGGGAATGTCTCGCGAGCTTAACATGCAAGAGTCAAGAATAAAAAAAATATTCCCATGTTTGGATGAACTAATTACAATTCATTGCTCATTTCTTTGGCGATTAAGACAAAGACAAAGAGGCAGCAAGTATATAGAAACAATTGGCGACCTTTTACTAGATCAATTCATGGGTGATAATGCCCAGGGGCTTAAAGATGCTTACGGACAATTTTGCTCACAACACCAAGATGCTGTAAGTTGAAAAGTTATTCTGTTTGTATTTTTATAGAAATAAAAAAAAAGCTACTGTATTTTTAAGTCACTATGTGACTATTAAATTCGTTTTTGAGAAAAATGTTTGTGTGGATAAGCAGCCTTATTACATAATTTCTGGGTCAAAGGTAAAGCATGGATTACTAGTTCAGAGAAAACCTTATGAAATTTTACAAAAATAAAAAATTCAGATGGAATGTTAAATAATAAATTATATCAAATTCAAAAGTATATGCTTGTTTTTCTGACGGGAAGCCCCTTTGGCTCCCCGGAGCTTACTAGGCTGATATGCTAATGTCAGACTTTGGCATCAGTCATGTGTATGGAGTTCTGTGGGCCTACCAGGGACCACGAGCCAGAACCTGGTCCCCCTCAGAGAGGCATGGGGAGCAATGGCCTAAAGAAACTCCCATGTGGTTGAAGCATTCTATGTCTGCCATCGACCGGGTCAGGCACCCAGAAAGGTATCCCACCTGCGGGCTTCGTCTCGGCAGCAGTATGAAGTATCCTGGCAGTCCTTCCGTTTCTTTTTGACTTTTCGTCATTGTACAGTACTTCGCTTTCGGTTCAGGTGGTGGTGTCCTTTCTCTCGTGGTTGTTCCAGGACTGTCATCTTATGCTAAATACTGTCCTCTCGTATCGTGCGGTGCTGGCGGAGCCGCTGCGGCTTGTTTTCGGTATAGATGTCACTTCTGTGCCATTTCACAAGCTGTCTCGTGCCTTGTTTCACCTCCGGCCTGCTCATGCGCTGCCTGAGCCATCCTAGTCTTTGGACAGAGTGCTCTCCTATCTCTCTTCTTGGTTTATTGTGGCCCCTTCGGTTCAGGATTGTTTTGCTAAGGCTCTTTTCCTGTTGGCATTGACCTCTGGGGGCTGGGTTGCAGAGCTTTATGCTCTTCTCCAGCGCAGGGGTTTCTGCTCTTTTGGTCATGGTGATAGGTTTGTTGTCTGCAGCAGTCTCCTTTTCTGGCGAAGAATGAGACCGCTGCTTTCCAGAGAGATCCTTGGGCTGTTGATGCTTGGTTGGTCAGCCCGGAGGTGCATCATGTGTTGTGTCCGGTTGCGGCCCTTCGCTGTTATTTGTGCGCCACAGCTTGTGTGTCTGGGGACACTCTTTGGGTTGATCTGGTTTCCCCTCTTTCCTGTTCGTGGGTATGGGTCTCTCAGGTCATCCACAGGGTTATTCGGTCTAGCCAGCCTAAGGTCTATCCCCGTGCCCATGAAGTTCGTAAGTTTGCTGCTCTTTCTGCCGTCTTTGGTAACATGTCCTGGGCTGACATTCGGGCACAGGGTTTTTGGCGGTCGAACAGGATCCTGGCTGCACACTATCTCGTGAATGTTCCTGGGCCTCGTCGGGCCTGTGTTGCTTTGGGTCGGCGGTGGCAGCCAGTTGTCTTGACGTAAAGTTGAGATGTGAGCACCGACCACCTTCCGGGTCAGGAGGCGCCTCCCCTTTCTTTTTCGTCTTTTGGTGAAATAGCTTCAGGGAGCCATAGGGGTTCCCCCCAGAAAACCAGCGTTGAATGTACGGAAACGCCATTTTCTGGGTGAGTCCCGGAAGCTCCCCAACAACCCTCCCTCCCTCCCCCCGGTTGGTGGTTTTCGCGTATTTTGATACCCAGCCTCAGAACTGGGGGTGTGGATCACTAGCGTGGGGGTCTGGGGCTCGCCCTTTCCCCTCGCGGGGAGGGGAGAGCTGCGCAGACATGCGACGCAGCTCATATGACATCATGCTCGTTTGCTCGTTTTTATTTGGGGAGTTCTGTCCACTCATTTGTCTATTTTAGTCTTTTTCACCAGGATAGGGGTTTGTTTTGGGGGGCCAGGTTCTGGCTCATGGTCCCCGGTAGGCTTAGAACTCCACGCATCGACTGATGCCTAAGTTAGGGATATCCTTATCAGCCTGGATAGCTCCGGGGAGCCTCCGGGATTCACCCAGAAAATGGCGTTTCATTACATTCAATGCTGGTTTTTTGTTAATACTGTATCTCGACAAAATTTATAGCAAATCTTCTAACCCAACATTATTGTTTTACAGGTCTCTTTCTATAAAGACATGTACAAAAACGATAAAAGATTTCACGATTTTATCGTTCAAAAATCTTCCCATCCACTACTGAAGAGGAAGGGTATCCCTGAATGTATATTGTTCGTAACCCACAGAGTAACCAAATATCCTTTAATTCTTGAAGCACTATTGAAGTATACTATAGATCAAAAGGAGGAGTCAGAAATATTATCAAAAGCACTAAATTTGGTAAAGGTAGGTGTTACTTGTACCGTGTATGTAGTTTTTTGTATTTACAGAGTAAACTAGTAGACATGAGTTATAAAGAGTCTAAAGACAAACTTGTTTCCATATAAGCCTGTTTCATGAGAGAGTTTAGATTTGGAAAATATATGTAATTGTTAAGAACCCTCATTCACAGTACTGCTGTGGTATAAACAGTATATATAGTTTGAAACTTTTCAGAACCACAGTATATAAATAGCGAGTTACTGGTTTAGATTGTATTTTTTTACGCTTGTTATTGAATAACTGGCATGTTTTAAATACATTTCTAATATAGTATATATTTTTCAGGAAATTCTTGTAAATATTAATGCTCAAGTAGCTGAGAAGGAGAGAGAACAAAGATTATTAGAAATTTATCATAAAATCGATGCAAAATCTTCTGCAATATACAGGGATAAAAAGTTCAAGAAATCTGACTTCTTCTCCAGAAGTAGAAAGCTTAAGTAAGTGTATATACAATTAAATTTATTGTGTGCATGTGTGTTTGTATTGAACTTTTTTCTTCATAAAATCAACCAAGCAGGTTCAGTACCATAGTATATATCAGTATATCTATATTCAATATAGTATCGAATAAATTTTTGTTGCAAAAATTCTTTCTTGAGCTTATTGCATCTTTTGTGCAAACTCAAGTTAAATATGAAACTTAAATGTTAGTATGAACAAATGCATGTTGTGTGTATATTTATACTCGTATATTTGTACATACTTTTATTTTGAAAGTTATATATAACGAACTCCACCTCTGACACATCAATACAACCTGTTAGCACGAAAATACAAAATAAATAAAATGAAAAACTTTGAAAAACGAATTGACAAAGTTATTCCCCATGTGGCACCACACCTCATTTCTGCTGTAAAAATGCAACTTTTCCGGGTGCCACTACAGCTAAACCACAAGAGCTAGAGACTTTTTACTTGGAATTTTTTGTGCATATTGGATGCTAATTAACAATATCAAAAGAAAAACAAAATCACTTATTTTTTTTCTGGGGGGGAGCCCCTTTGGCTCCCAGGAGCTATCCAGGCTGATATGTAATATATAAGACTTTGGCATCAGTGTGACTGGAGTTTATACAGTAGTCCTACCGGGGACCACAACCCAGAACCTGGCCCCCTCGAAGGCACGAGGAGCAATGGCTTATAGAATAGCACATGTAATTTGGAGCATTCTATGTCTGCCATAGACCAGGTCAGGCACCCAAAAACTCATGCATCCTAAAACAAACCCCTATTCTGGTTGAAGCTACTACTGAAAGTCAAACGAGTGGACAGAACTCCCGAAAGAAAACAAGCAAACGAGCATGACGTCACCAATTGCCGCGCTGCCGTCTGCACAGCTCTCCCCTTCCTGGGAGAGAGAATGGGGAGCCCCAGACCCCTCGCGCTGGCAACCCACACCTTCAGTTCTTTGGCTGATGTGAATGGCATTGGTCGCTGTAGCTCTGGCTCCTGATTTCTGCCCTCTGCTCTGTGCCTTGTGGTGTGGAGCAGGTCTTCTCTGGTGGTGCGCGAGCCAGGAGTAATTTCCCAAGTACTCGGTCTGCATGCACTTAGGGTCACCTTCCCTAGGTGCCCTGTAAATACTGCCCTTGGGGCTTGGGGTTATCTTCCACAAGTCACCTTGGGGTCTACCTCTGTTGGTCTTTTGCTGCTCATTAATTGACTTACCTTAGTGTGCTGGGGGGGAGTATTCCTCCCCCCTTGTTTACCATAGGGTAAGGGGGTAGTTTGCACTGGTAGGGTACTGCACAGCTATTTATCACCTATAATGGCAGACAGATTCTGTTCACCTGGGTGCGTTGCCCTCTTGCGGGGGTTTTTCTTTTTGTTTTCCTGCTTGGTGGGGGGTCTGCCTTTGGTTCATTGCCTCCTATCTGCCCTTTAGGTTTCTATATATCTGTGTTTCTGCACGGGTTATTCACCATACTAACTATTATCTCACTAGTCATGGCACCCTAGATCCTGGGGGGGTGTTCTGAACTTTATATATAGTGAAACTTCATAGTACTTTTTTTCTGAATATGGGTGTTGAGTGGCTTGACATGACACTGCCTCCACCTCTACACAACACTTAATCTTCTCCTACTGCGCACAAGCTAAGGGCATAATCCATTGGCACTGCTCCCAGAATAATAAACGACAAAAGCTGCGACAAAAGGGAGCCGGTTGGCTGAGCGGACAGCACACTGGACTTGTGATCCTGTGGTGCCGGGTTCGATCCCGGGCGCCGGCGAGAAACAATGGGCAGAGTTTCTTTCACCCTATGCCCCTGTTACCTAGCAGTAAAATAGGTACCTGGGTGTTAGTCAGCTGTCACGGGCTGCTTCCTGGGGGTGGAGGCCTGGTCGAGGACCGGGCCGCGGGGACACTAAAGCCCCGAAATCATCTCAAGATAACCTCAAGACTCAAATCATAACACAATAGTGCCTCCGCTTTTCAAGAGAGGTTATACAGTCAGTCAGCACCGTCAGTCAGGCACTGGTTTTCATGTTTTTTGGGTGAGTGTTGGGTATTGTTTGTGGTGTGTTGATTGACTGCTTTGCTTCCTTCTTAACGTTACCTTCATGTCTATATATATTATTCGTTGCACTGTGGGGAGCAGCCCTGACTTTCAGTAAGTTTTGATTTCATCTTTCACGCCTGAATCTTTTCTGGACTCTGGACACTCATTCTTTGCCAGTCATTCATTGCTTTCTGGACACTCATTCATTGAAAGTCATTCAGTGCCTGCCTGAAAATTTTTCTATTTATTGGAATCTCTCTCTATATACTGTATTATTTGATCATATGCATTACCATGCCGTTTTCTAACTAAGTCATTCGTTCGTCAAATTGAATCTACTCTCTTATACCTAGATACAAGTACCTGTACTTGGACCATTTTTAAGGTCCTTTCATCACATTTTTACATATTTCATACCTATCTCATACACATTGTGTTTCTTAGTGGGCATTTTGGCTTTAGTACTGGTGGTGCTCAGCTGGACTATGTCCGGGTTCAGATCCCTGATCTTGAACGGAACCGGAGTTCGTTATTGCACTGCGTACTTTCATCTTCTCCTTGTATATCAATACAAGCTGTTGTGTTGACATGTCTGCAGGTGGATGACTATTTCAGATCAACCGCTCGTGCCGCCTGCAGTTCATTGTCGTTCAAACAAGAGGAGCTAGGAATTATGTCGCTAGTTATGGGTTTTTATTTATGTTAATTTTCCATACAGTAAATTTTTGTTTAGTGCAGTACATGTCCTCAGTAGTTCTCCTCATGCATCGTTCGGCGGCACGTGCATTGTCTGCACTGCTGGAGCTGTTTGCGCCGATCCTCCGGGATGCGGTGTCAGTTTTTCGCTTCACATCATGCGTGTCGGCTAGTGGTGCTCGCTTCCTTGTTGGAATCTTCCTGGGCCATGGCACTTAGGTTTATGTTGCTATTTTGTCCTTGCTGTTTGTGAAATCTGCTGTTGGGCAGTTTCTGCTAGCAGCTTCTTGTTGTTGTCTGTCGTCAGGCTTGTTGGTTCTTTGGGGTCCGGGAAGGGGGGAGGGAATTTCTCTTGGACGGGGCGTGTCTGCTCACAGGGGATTGCTTCCTTCCCGGCTCGCTGGGTTTGGGGTTCCTGGTGACCTGGCGGAAGTTCCATCTGATTGGACATGGTGCTCTCTTCTCTCTCTCCCCTTTGGTTTGATGGGGCCCCTTCGGTTCAGGGTTGTTTCTGGTTGTGACTCTCCGCCATTGCTTGTGTACAGCGGCCTCTGTGGCCGTAGACGCGTTTTGGGTTGACCCGGGTTCCCTTCGTCACTGTTCCAGGGTTTGGGTCTCCTGAGTCGTCCTCGGGGTCTTTTGGTGTCGTCGGTTGTTATGCTTTCGGGTTCGGGAGCATGGTTCCTGCCTCCCGGATTTTGTCCCTCTTTTGTCCTTGTCTGTGGAGTAGTTAGCTCCTAGGAGCCGATGGGGCTTTCCCCAGAAAACCAGCATTTTCTGGGGCTCCTTACATTCTGGGGCTCCAGCGAGGGGTCTTGGGCTCCCCCATCCCCAGGAGGGGGATGGGGAAGTTGCGCAGATGGCGGCACGGCGACGTGGTGACATCATGCTCGTTTGCTCGTTTTGTTTGGAGAGTTCTGTCCACTAGTTTGGGTTTTCGTCGCAATTTCTTCACGAGAATAGGGGTTTGTTTTGGGATGCTTACCTTTCTGGGTGCCTTACAGGGTCGATGGCAGACATAGAATGTTTCCATCTACATGGGGGTTTCTATAGGCCATTGCTCCTCGTGCCTCTCTGAGGGAGCCAGATTCTGGTTCATGGGCCTCGGTAGGCCTGTGAACTCCTGTCACACTGACTGATGTCAAAGTCAAATATTAGCAATATCAGCCTGGATAGCTCCGGGAAGCCTCCAGGCCTCACCCAGAAAAATGGTGTTTCATTACATTCAACGCTGGCATTGATGGTCAGAAATATTGAGAATTATGTTTGTTAGTCGTCTGTCAGTGTTGCAGACAAGACAAAACACTTTACTGTAATCAAATTCAAGAATTTCAAAGCAGCACTTTATGCAGAAAAGGGTAGTTTGAAAACAGTTTGTTTTCCCTTAGTATGTCACTACTTGAATATTTGACTATACCTTGTAATTGGCATTTCTAACAAATGTTAACTTTGCAGGTTTGAAGGTTCTGCTATGTTGTGTCAGCAGAAAGGAAAGCCAATATTGGTGCAAGTAGTGGTCCTTTCAGACTTAGTATTTTTTCTTTTGGAAAATAACCAGAAATACTCCTTCTTCTCACCTGATACTAAGGTTAGTAGAATTTATTGTAAAACAAGCTAAATGTTTATGAGTGTGCCAATTAACACGAAGCTGATGTTGTCTTTCTGAGCTATATAAATTCTGCTGCTTCCAAAATCAAGTTCAGCTGTGTCCAAGGAACAGAAACATTCACAATCAGGTCATAAAGGTGTTAGGAGTCACTGGAGGATTCCTTCCAGCCCAGAATGACCAATTTCCAGGTCATTCCTAAAAATCCTCTTTCAGTCACCTGAATGTAGTCAAACCATTTGTAGTTGAGCATATTATATGCATATTATATAGTTGCATAACACAGTCCAGGTGAATGTAATTGAGCATATTGTTTTTCATCTTCATCCAAGATATAATTACTTAGTTTTGTTTATTACACCAATGCTGCAATCTCTAACAACCATTTCTCTTCATCAGCAAGCTGGTGTTTATCCTCTAGGAAAAGTATTACTTCGACAAAAGGCTGGTGAGGGGTCGCGGGCCATCTACCTCATCTATAAGGCTCCTGCGGAAATGTTTGAATTTGAGTGTATTCACCCAAAAGATACAAAAATATGGCTTGAATCCGTAGGGTAATAATTTTTTGTTTGTTTGAACCAGGTTCTAATATAATTGTCATTGAAAAAGATTTGGTTGCAAAATATTGAAGCATGTTGAATGAAATATTTTCTCTTAAAATTCTAACAATTTTGTAAGATACTCAGAGGAAGTCAAACACTAATTTTGAGTTAATGCATTAATACAAATACTGTTCTGTGTTACAATTATGGATAAAGAATTAATTATGTATTATAAATATTAGTGAAGAATATAGTTGCAGAATTGTGTAAATGCCAGTAATTCATGAAACACTTGCATCATTAGTCTAATGAAAAGATTAAAAAGAATAGAAATTTAAAAGTATTTAAGTTAAAAAATCATTTAAAACCAGAAAAAATATTTATGTAATAAACAGCGTAACAAAAGTACTGTATAATAATTTAATTACATTTGAACTGTTTATCATCAGCGAGGCCATTCTCAACTGTCCCGTCGAGGATGATGTGGATGACAACGCGGGTGAATGCTCCAAACTGCAGGAGGCTAATGAAAAAATCAGGCAGCTCACTGGTTAGTTTAATTTGACATAAGATGCATTTTATGCATTTATTTATATATTTTGGTGATTTAACTGAGTATGCACTGGATCCCATGTTAATTCTTTTATTCCTCTGTTTGTGCTTTAGGTGTCCTACAACACAAGGATAAGGAGCTTGCAAGATTATGTGAAGAGAAAATGAATCTGGTGACAGAACTTCTAGAATTATTAGGGCATGATGAGCTCCCACCCACAGCGCAATATCGAGCGTTACTTGATGAAAATCAACTAGACCATAATGCTGCTCGGGATCTCCAAATAAATTCACTCACTGTAAGTACAGCTTTTTCTTATAATTTGAATATTTTTCAGTGATTGTTTTATGACTGTAGGATATGTAATGCAGTTGATCACATATACTGTACATTTATTAGTCAGATAATGTATCTGTATGTGAATTTTTTGCAGGAAGCGTTGAGATTAGTTACTGGTGCTTGTGGGTGGGGTACAAACCTTGCCCGGTCAGTGAGCTCTGTTGGGGAACACCAGAGTGATGCCTATGTGTCACCAAGCCTACCTAAACGAGCAGAAACATTCGGAGGCTTTGATAATCCAAATAAAGATGCCTCTGGTCACACTGCAAAACGTAAGGATAATTTTTTTTTTTTGTCCTCATTGGTATCAAGAGTTTGTCTTAATTTCCTGTATTCAAGAATGTTAACATGTTTATAACTCATTGATGACTTTATATTTTTTCCTCCTCTATCACCTAACAATCTGGTATTTTTTCAAACTTAGCTCTGCTCTTCCAATCTTATTCATTCTTATCTTAAAGTTCTGTTATTCTTATGTAGAGCTGAAACACCAGATTTGGAAAAGGCTTTAATGGTATTTTATGAAGAATATTCTCAAATCTAACACACATGTAGTGGGAAGATTTTGCTACCTGTTTGATACCTGCTTGATGGAGTTCTGGGAGTTCTACTTTCCAAGGCCAAGCTTGACTTGTGAGAGCTTGGTTCACTATGCTGTTGCTTGGAGTGGCCTACAGGCCCACATATCTACCACAGGCCGGTTGGTCCGGCACTTCTTGGAGGAAACTATCTAGTTTTCTCTTGAAGATGTCCACGGTTGTTCCGGCAATATTTCTTGTACTCGCTGGGAGGATGTTGAACAACTTTGGACCTCTAATGTTTACACAGTGTTCTCTGATTGTGCCTATGGCACCCCTGCTCTTTATTGGTTCTATTCTGCATTTTTTTTTCCTGTCGTTCATTCCAGTATGTTGTTATTTTACTGCTGTGAATATACAGTAAAATAGTTAAGTAAGTAATATGCAAGGTTCTTTGCTTCTGTCACAGTCCATAGTGTAATTGGTTAACATTTCAAATGTAAATTAATTTATTTTTGTGTACCAACAGAACCAGGTGGTAAAAAGAAGAAAGACAGTCGAATGTCTCTAACATCAACTGCTGAGGGTGATATTATAGAGAGCCTTAAGAATCGTCGCCCCTCTGGCAGTACGCTAGCAGTCCGTACTTCACAGGATAATCTGAGTATTGTCTCTTCCCTGTCTGGAGATTCTGTCACCCAGCAGCAACAGCAGGATATGACAGCTAAACTCATCAATTGGCTTCATATCTCCTTAGTGTTGAGTCAACATCATCTAACACAGTATGATATGTAAGTTTAATTCTAACTATTTAATCACTTGTGCCTCACAGGCTTCTGGTTTGACTATTTTGTCATTATTTGAAGGTTGTAGGATGGCTTTGTACTGTATAAATGAATGCACTGTACTGTACTTTGTTATAATCAAATCAAATCAAATCAAATGTTTATTCAGGTAAAGTACATACATGCAAGGTGAAATACAAAACATTGGTGGATTTATAGATAGAGCTTGCACATACAATGGGGAGGGGGGTTGCGCAAACATCTGCACAGCGACGTGGTGACGTCATGCTCGTTTTCTAGTTTTCAGTTGGGGGAGTTCTGTCGACTAGTTCGGCTTTCAGTAGCAATATTAACCAGATTAGGGGTTTGTTTTGGGGCGCTTACCTTTCTGGGTGCCTGACCCAGTTGATGGCAGATATAGAATCCTTCCAACCACACGGGGGTTTCTATCCCCCTGCTCCTCATGCCTCTCTGAGGGGGGCCAGGTTCTGCTCGTGGTCCACAGTAGGCCTAGAACTCCATGCACATTGACTGATGCCAAAGTCTAATATATCCATATCAGCCTGGATAGCTCTTGGGAGCTGCAGGGATTTCACCTAGAAAATAAAAATATGGGGAATGCCAAAAGTAGTAGCCAGTTTCAGGTTGCAAAGAACTGTACCTTACAGCAAAGCGTGTTAGAACAGACTTGGTAGCCAAGGTCGAAGTTCTACTAACATTATATATTCCTGTGTGGGATTACATTTGTTTAGTACAGAATATAGGCACTTCTGTATTCAATAGTGCATAAACCAAGGACATTTTTTCTATCACAGATTGAGATCAAAATTAGTAATTGGTGGCACATCAGTAGATGGTCAGTTCCGCCATTCTCAGAAGCTAGAGGAGCTTCGTAACATCCAAGAACAAATCAGTCATGAACGAGCACAGTGGACAAAAGAAAAAGATGCTCAGGAAAAATGGATTTTGGAAAAGAAAATAGAAATTCAAAAGAAAGAGGTATGTGCATTTTTTTTTACCAAATATTGTTGATATTGTGTAATATATTGTTGATATTGTGTTAGAAATGAATGAATTGTGCCCTGAGCACAACATTTAGATATGAAATATAAAACAAGTGAGAAAATTACCTAGTCTCATTTTATTAACATGAACTGGGGGAAGAGTAATTTTCTTTATAACCTTGCTTTAATTTTATATTATATTAAATTTTGCTCAATCTAAATAACTAGCATTGGATAACTTGGCAAGCCCTTAAGGGCCAATATAATTACAGCATATTATTATTATTATATTAACTCGTATGGAACCTGCTTGTGAGGGTTCTATTTTCAGTATATTAAAACAATTATATAATGACAAATTAATTGACTTTGTATCCTCAGGAACATTTACATTCTGAGCAACAGGATGTTCAGCAGCAACGTGAAACTCTGTATCGGAAGCTAGAAGCCCTGAAGGCCCAGGGCATCATCCTTAGTCCCACACTAACTGTGTTGAACACTACTCCACCTACTCACTTCATTCATGATGAACATCACACAGGTAATGAATTCACAGGTTGATTTTGGCTAGTGTTCCATGTCTCGAGAATCCACTTGTCGGCTTCTATTAATACAGTACCATAGTTCTATTAGGGGCTGCTATCTTCAAATAATTTTGTCATTATATATAGCATACTGGCTTAGTACTTTCTCCTGATTCCCTTATTGCATTACCTCTGTAATAATTCTCCTGATTCTCCTGATTACCTTACCCTTGTCATTACATTAGAACCCATCAAGGTGATATGTATATGTTCAAAGACCATTTCAGGTTTCTCAGTTAACTGTTTAAAAAGTGTGTAATTATTGATAATTATTAATTACAAATGTTTTATTATTTCCACTATATACAGTATTTATACCAGAAATCTCTTGGAAATTCTTGGTATGATTTGTATAGCATACTAATTAGCACCCTAACTTCTGGACTAGAGTTACAGAAATTATACAAAAATGTATATTTCATACTTTAGTCTTTATATAATGAGGCATTTTTTTTATTAACACATTCAGGTACATCTGCATTTGTGCAGCTACCCTAGACTATATGAAGGGGAGTACAGTGTGCATCAAAAAAAAGCTAGCTACATGATGCTAAAATCCCCATCACACAGGATGGTTAGTCATACAGAGGCATATGAACAGTAGTCTGCACTGGCAAACTTGGGGTGCACTATGAGGATATCATGAACATGAGTAAATAAGGTAGCAGTGGTACCAAGTCACCCATCTCGCAGGAAATGAGGCAAATAAGTAAATATCAAATGCAGGTAACACTCAGTCTCGCCTCATTTGATATGTTGGGTGACATAAAACACTGCAAGTCAATGTCTAAATTTGGTGAGAATGGAGAGGAAGCCTTGCAGGATGAACATAAATTATGCATCATTCACCTGCTATATAATGGGCTTTGAAAACAAATATTATAAGGCCTGTAAATAATTTTAGGTTAGTCGTATAGAAATGAAGAACATACACTCCAACAGTTAGGATTTTTAAACTGAATGGATGATGAAATAGCATATAAGTATAGTATGTCCTAGCTGGAAGACGGGAACCCATAGTCTCTGAGAAAAGCGCACACACAGCATTTTTTGTTGTTTTTGTTGTGTGTGTGGGGGGGGGGGAATCAAAGCACAAAGGGGTTTTTCTGTGGGGAGCGCCTATGGCTCCCTGGAGCTATCCATGGCCGATATGGATACCCTAACTATTTTGCATCAGTCGATGTGGGTGGAGTTCTAGGCCTACCGGGGACTGGTGCAAAATAGTTAGGGTATCCATATCAGCCATGGATAGCTCCAAGGAGCCTCTGGAACTCGCCCAGAAAATGGCGTTTCATTACATTCGACGCTGTTTTTTTTGGTTCCCTCTCCAATGCAGTCTCAATGCTCTTTTGTTTACCATTCCCCTTTTCTTTTGAGTTTTGTTTTGCTTTATTGGATATTTAAAGGTTAAAAGTTATACATTGGTGAATACTATGAAAGGTTAAATGTTGGCGCTCCTCAGCTTCCAGACAGGAAGCGAGGACATAGCAGAAGGGTTCCCCTCTGAAACAGGATCTATATTCAAGGCAGTTTGAGGATAAAATTCAGTTGAATTAGTTTATTACTAGGCCAGTTACTCACTGGGACTAGTGAGTCATTCAGTACTGTTGAAGACTATGTATACAGCACACAGTAATTGTAAACGTTCAGAATTTAGTGGAGCTTATCAGGAGGGTATGATTGAGTGGCAGTCTTTGGGTGACAAATCACATGGAGCCTGCAATAAAATGCAATGCATGGTGCCTGCAATAAAATAGCTGAGATAATGCTGTTGTAGTATGTTACTAAGGTACTAGATACAATATTATATTATTGCAAAAAGATTTACCTTCCTTAAAGAATTGAACATTTCTGTCAAAAGTTTTTTTTGTCAATCATTTTTGTAGCCACTCTTTTTATATTATGTTTCTATCCTAAGTGAGTGCTTTCTCATTTAAAGAAGATGGCAAATGGTTGTGGTGATGAATTATATTTGGCTGAGAGTAGAGCTTTTAAAAATTTGATGGAGGCTTGGAATTCGATTTAATACGATATGATGGATGAAGTGTAACCAGTCATCATTCATCACACCTTTCCTGGTCTAAAGATATATAAAACCCCTCTTGCTTTGGTTTATTTTTTTTTTAAACTATCACCTCGTTTTGACCAGCATTTGCTATTTGCTTTCAGCTTTTGTTATATTATACAAAACTCATTTGCCATCTTTTAATAACAAATTTTTTATTTCTGCAATCAATGTAGTACTGAATCGATATCATATGTACTTAAGCAATCCTTGTTACAGGTGGGGGTGCAAGTGATGGTGGGCAGATGACTCAGGGATCCCCACACAGTTCACCAACAAGTACAGCAGCTCCAGTGCGTCCACGTACTGACCATAAGCACCGTAATTCCACAGCTTCCATGGGAAATCTTATTAAGCGAGATTCCAATCAATCTTTACCAACACACCTCATCTCGGCTGCCAATCAGCAAAAAGCCTCTATATCAGTTAAACAACAACTACCAATGAAATTAGCAAAGCTTGGAAGCAGTAGTAGCTCAGGCTCTTCATCGAGTAGCACAGGAGGGGCATCCTCCCCAAATCAAGATCATCATCGACCTCATATAAGTCCAGCTGCCAGTGGTGGGGTGCAACAAATGTTACCCTTAAAATTAAGTCAAGGACCTGGAGAGAGTAAAGGTTCTCGTATGTCCGTAGGATACCAGCGCCTAGCATCTCCTCCACCTTCCCTTCAGGAGCCATCTCCTGGTCATTTCCACCAGCGCACAGGTTCATCCCCAGCAACACTACAGAATGGATCTCCAGCCACTAGTCCTGGTGCACCCCCATCCACTGCCACCACCACTGCCCAGGGTGCTCGTGCCACCCGCACTAATACATACCCTAAGTTACCCAGCAAACCTGCGCCCACCACACGTGCTAACATGACTCAAGAGGCACAGCAGGAAGGGTCTGGTATGGGTTCCAGCACTCGCCCTGGCCAGCGTATCAAAGACCCTGACACTGACCAAGACATCATATTCTTCTAAGAGCTTCTTTATAGTTAGCTTTTCTAGGGTTCATATAGTTTCAGTGGTATAACGATTCAGCTATATTTTTCTTTTATCAGCAGAATTGTTGTACTTCTGCCAGCCGTGATTAGCGTCTGTCCCTGTGATTAAGGCATTCCTTCCTTTATACACACCACCACACCACTGTTACATGATCCTTAGTGTTATTATTATTATTGTTATTACTAGGTGTATGCTGTGAGTCTGGGACTTGTACATAAACACGTACACACCCACACACTGTCTTCCTGCTACTGGTACACAGCACTGGTGGAAGCTCGTACTTTCGTGTGATAGATGCACCCTGAATTATCCCTTGGCAGATGCTGCTTACCATGTATTGATGTGCAAGGTTGATGGTTCAGTAGTCATATTAAGCTATGATAGTTACTTTTATATAAGATGAAGAATGAAAGTGAAGTAAATGATGTAAAAAGTTCAATATGTGTGACTCGGATGGCTATTTTTACATACGTGTGAAAGACTTGACTGGTTGCACATTCCTGTGGCCTTTACTGCCCTCCCCCCCAACCCCTTGCCTAGGGAAGGGAGCAGCCTCAAGGGGAGAGAGGCTGCTCGGCTTCCAAAATGCATTCTTGTGCGAGCTGCCTCGGGTGGTGTAAGTATAGCTAAAGCGTACAATTTTACGTCTATTTAACAAGCTTTTTTTATACATCTTTCATATAAATTATTAGAATTTTAATTTAAGTAGAATATATTTAATGTATACTCCATGTAGCGAGGATGACAGTGTGTACATTCCAAAGAAAAATGATTTCCATGTTGTAATTGCTGTATGTTAGCCCAGAGGGAATATAGGGTATCGTAATATCTAACATGTATCTAGAATTCATTGTTTTCCTAAAGCTCAATGTGTATCAGCCAAAACTTCCAGGCAAGACTGGCAAAAACTAGGTTGGAAACGGTGTATAGCCAGTGTAATGCTACGTTAAGATGGGGGTAAATTTGTTGTGCTGAATGTTTAGGTCAGTGTACAGTGTAATTAATTATGACCAGCACAAAAAACAACATTCCTAGGGGTCATTTTTTTGTTGTGCATTTGATAGAACCTAACTTTGATAATGTGTACAGATATTTCTGCAGTAAAGTGTAAAAATAGATGATATGCATCAATTATTGCTTCATCTCTGTTGATATGATCCTTGGCAAAGGAACTGCGTTGAGTTACTAATAAGTCCATAACTGTGACAGGATCAGCAAAAGTGAGCTTTGACAACTTAATTTGTAGATAATTTAATAGTCATATTTCAGTGTCATAAACATTTCTGAGATTTGGCCTATTCAAGTTTTAAGGAGCTATTTTTGCTGATGTGTTACATTATAGTACCTCGGCTTAACTTGATGGAAGCCAGAAAAATCAAGGTTGCTGTTACCTTCCTCTTTGTTACTTTTATAAGAGAGTTCTGCCGCAACACTCTATCCATAAGGCTACTTTTACTTTCAATTGGATGATCAGTGGGCATTGGATGAATATTGTATGTGGCTCCTTTTTTTTGTATTTACAGTATAGAAAAGGAGCCATGTTAAATATGTCCAATCCTGAGGTTTCCAACTCATGTTCATATTTGGTCTTCCATACCACTGTGCTGACTCTGCCTCATAAGGCAGTCTGTGGCCACATTCACCAAGAGTAGATATAGATTACTTCATGATTCTCATATGTTTTATGACATCCTTCCTTTGCTAAAAACTATTTATCATTTCACACCATTCCTCACTGGATGGGGAGTTATCCCCCTGAGTGAGAAACAATGTAGCTAGTCTGAAGCCCAGAATAGCAGAGTTACTACCTCTGTGATTCTTTGTTCATACTATTTTAAGTCAAGTCAGAGTAAGTTTATTCTGCATTTTAAATATGCTAATATTGATTATGCAGTCATTAATCAATGATATTTCAGTTTAATCCATTTCCATTATTTTAAAAGATTCATCAACCTTTTTAAATATTTCTGAAAGCTCTGTATGAGTAATCTGCCTATTATTAATAAAGGTAATTTTTCACAATAGATGTCAAACCAACTTTGTCATCAAGCTACCTAATAAATGATATGGCAACTCTCTCACCACTTCTTAAAACAAGTAAGGGTTCAGCTTCCCTGTTTATCAAAAAAACATTCCATTATTTACAGAAGTTGCTCCGGAAATGTCACACTAAAATTGACCACTGTTCTGTCCACTAGAATAGTGTCCTGTGTTCCAGGGGGAAAATATCACTATTCTCTTTTAATCTATTTATTTTAACTCCATAGCAGATACCCAGCCCTCTGTGTAAACTATAAACTAAAGTTGCAGTTTTCTGGCTGAATTCTTCTGGCATAAATACTATCAGTAATAAAGTCCTCAAGAACTAACCTGGTGCTTGAATAGTATATAGGAAAATAGTGCAACTTTCAGGTCATAAAGGGAGCTATCTGGAACCAGTCAGCATGAGTTAAAACTCTGGTGTGCCATTTTTTGACAACAATTTCATTATAACTAGGTATCAGTAGAGCCTGGAGTCAGTTTGGCAGCATGTGATATAATGACAGAGGACAAGACTCGGTAATGAGAATATAAGAGGTTGATCTGATAGGAAGAAGCTTTTGTTCTTAAACAAAAGCCTTTTAATACTTTATTTTGTGAATAGAAGTCCAAGGAATAAACTGTTTATCATGTTATGCAGTTTTTTTCTCCCCCACACAAACAAATATTTAATAGTGTCATTGATAATGTGTTGCACAATCCCTGATTTTCCATCCTTGCTTTCTCATTTAACCTTTCTTCCTGTAGATTCTTACCCTATTTACTTGCAATTTATGTAATTACATAGCTTATTCAATCATATTTTACAATCCATGACGAAGTTTTAAATATTCCACAAAATTTTAGATATTTATTTTCCAGCTACCAATCAGCAAAATGCCTCTTTACTAGTTAAGCAACAGATGGCCATGAAATAGCAAAGCTTTGAAGCAGTAATAACTCATGCTCTTCGCTGAGTAGTACAGGAGGGACGCTTGAGTGGTGGGAAGTGAGTTCTGTCTTTCAGGTTTTCTTGAATGATGATGCTTTTGTGCCACTTAAGGATTGCATGTTTGCTCTGTTGCTTCCCAACGACATGGACATGTGGCAGCTTCATGTCCAGCTGTCTGTGCTCACACTGTGGAAGATCATATGGCTCCTACCCACTTTGCAGCTGTTTTGTGCATCTGGGTGGTTGTTGAGTTGTACTCTTGATGAGCTACATGATGGCCTGAATGTTCTGGAGTCTGTCCAGAACATTCTTGTTGCTTGTGATTCTGGCATTGGAGGCTCTGCCTGTTCTCTTCCCCCTCCTTCAGGAGGTGGTGGTGGCATTTTACTTAGCTCGTCTCACGAGTTGGCAGGCTATGCTAGCCAAGTTGTTAGATTCGGCCTGGTCCTTAACCCTTTTGTCTGCCTATCCCTTTTCCCTGAGGAAGCCATCTCTGTTGTTGTTTTGGCTGCTGTGGCTGGTTTTTGACCTCTCAGTTGGGTTCTTCTGCATAGAGGGTTTGGCCCCTTTACTAAGAGGAGATCCAGCAGGACTGGGACCTTGCCTACTGCTGGTCAGGGTAGGCCTCTGGCAAAGTTTAATTTTCGGGCCTTTGATTGGCGAATACCGCTTCTGCTTAACGTTGAATTGTGTGTCACAGGATAGCTTTGCTTGGAGGTCTTTGCACGAACCCTTTTATGGTTTACCCCTTTGATGATGCTGTGGGAGATGTCTGGCCCATTTTGTTAGTTCCTGGTTCCACAACTCCTAGGCTTACTAGATTGTTTTACAGGGTCTTTGGTGGAGTTCTCCTCTGTTAGTTTAAAGGGTGTTGGGGCTGGTGACTCCCATCAACTCTGCATGGTAATTGCAATGTGGCTAGACTTGGGGTGTTTTATCCTGTCTGTGCCTGTCCCCCAAGTGGAACTCGGCATATCTGCTGCACATTTGCGACTTCTTGGGATTGAACAGTTGCATTCCTTGTCCTATCTTATGCATGACCACTTTAGCTCAGGTTTGCCTGGTGTTGCAAGAGTGCATTCCTGGTATCCATGGACTCACTGTTGCTCTGTTTGGCATGTTTCTATTCACCCAAGATTCCAGGATTGGTTAGGATTTCTTGTGAGGCATCAGGCTTACCACGCCAGTGTTCTGCCCTTTGGCTTGAATCTGGCTCCTTGAATCTTTCCCTGGTTAGCATGAGTAGTTGTGACCTGTCTATATCTCTTGGGGGTTCATGTCTTGGCCTATCTCTATGACTGGCTGGTTTGGTTCCAAGCCAGTCTGCGTATCAGCTCACCAGGGATCTGGTTCTCTCCCAGCTTGCCGGGTTTGGGTTCCTGGTGAACTGGCAAAAGTCCCAGTTGGTTACATCCTAGGTTCAGACCTGGTTAGGTCTGGTTTGGGATTCCCACTAGTTGGTGTGTCTCCCTGCTTCTCAAGACTTCTCTGCCTTGAGCGGTGTCACTATCTGGTGTTTGACTAACCCTGTGTGATTCACTGGTTGATCAAAGCGGTTTTGCATGAGCCTGAGCTTTGTTTGCCTGGTATTTCTTCTGGGGAAGGGTTTAGCTGAAGGTACTGCACTGGTTTTTCTAATTTTGCCTGTTTTGCCTTTGCCAGGATCATTGGGTTTGGGCCCCTGTCTGCCCTTTGTCAGCTTTCTCTGTGGGCTTTTTGGGGTTCAGTTCTTTGGTACCACCTCACCTGTTGCTCGATGTATTCACAGATACCTCGGCTCTGGGTTTTTTATTGTGTAACCAGTGCTCACCAAGCCTTTAAAGGTGAGTGGTTAAGTCTGCTCTGTGGGTGTATAGTAGGGTTCATATGTTTGTGGATGTGTGGCAAGCCCTTCATAAGGTTCATTTTCTTTTGAGCTGCATTCTCCCACTCCATTCCAAGCCCATTTTTGCGACCATTCCCAATGTTAAGAAACTGTCATACTAAAGTGTCCTAACGAAACCAACAAGAGGACCTGTTTTCAATGGGACATCGTTAATTTCGTCATCGTTAATAGCCTCAAGAAAGTCAGGGGAGCTTTACAGACAACTGGAGGCTTCACAAAAAATGAAGCCTTAATACTACCAAACAACTCTACAAATGATTCACACAGAACAAGGGATTTACCCAAACTAACTTGAAACTCATTAGTTCCGATTACCACCACTAGGCGGCCTAGTCCTCTGCCGGCTCCCCATCTCAGTTCTGTTGTTGATGAGGCAGCATTTGGATCTGCCTGTGGTGTTCCAATCTCGGTTGTGGGCAAGCCCTGCTGCTTCAAGCTAAGTGCCGATCATCCTTGGACACTCTTGTCCTGTGGGGGTCATTTGCAGACCTGCATTGTTTATGGTTTCTGTATTTTAGTATTAGGTTCACATGCATTTTTCAATCCAGATTGTGGAGGCTTGGCTGTTGTGTTTCGGGCTGTATGCGCTCAGGGTTTTCTTCCCTGGGTGCCCGCTAACGCTGCCTTTGCAGCCAGAGTTATCTTCTCTGGTGTGATGACCAAACCACACATCAGAAGATGGAGAAACGACGACGTTTCGATCTGTCCTGGACCATTATCAAGTCGTATGTGTCCAGGACGGACCGAAACGTCGTTGTTTCTCCATCTTATGATGTGTGGTTTGGTCATATCTTCATGAATGTTATTTTGACTCATTCTCTGGTGTGTTTGGGAGCTGACCCCTAAAGAAACCTATCCGCCGCGGTAGAGGGCTTCGCGTTGGACAAATCTTTGATTGCTTTGTTTGACCCTTGGCTGGGGCAGTGTTCTTTTGATTGTCATGGGATGTGTGCTTGTTTATAATGGGTGTCACAGAATTAGTTAGCCATTTCTATGAAATCAGAATAATTATTTAAAAAACTCATGTTTGTTTATGTTTATCGTGTTTAATGTGTTAGAAATGTACAAATTTCAAAATTATTATTATTATTATTATTTTAGAAACCCTAACCCTAATAATGAATACACAAGAACGCCAATTTGTTGTGACATCCCATATCAAAGGATTACGATATAATTAAATTTGAGAAAGATTTACAAGGAAATTTAAGAGAATCGGTCCTACAAAGTGACTCGTGAATTGTGAACTAATTTAAATAATTGGATCCATACAAAATGTGTTTCGCAACGTTAATTTTAGACCTGAAATATGCAGGGATTCAGATGGAGTACATGTTGAAAGATCTCAATAAAGATTTGAATGATGCTTTATAAATCTGTTTTTGTATCAAAGTTGGGTAAAAATGAAATTATGTAGGCTTTTAATAGATTCGTTTGATTCCATAATAATATATAGCTAATTATGAAAAAGCGGACTGCCGGCACCATTTGTAACCAGGTTCTTTTGGCTGTGCTTCGTGAACTGCTCTTCCGGCGAGCGGCTCTGCTGCCTGGACTTTCTGCATGACTAGTTCCCTCATGGCCCGGGTAATTCACCCGCTGGTTTATAGCCTAGTTCGTTTTTCTCTCGACTCGTCAATGACCTTACTCGTAAGGTGAGGAGGAAGTTACAGTAACAACGGCAAAATAGAATACCATAATTATGTTTCCAATTTAGGTTGGGTAAGAACTGTTCATCAAGGAAGGAGACCAATTAAAAATGAGACGGGTCAAAATAGATACATATTTGGTTAGCACTGAAAACCAAAGACCTTCAACCAGCGAACCCTCATCAGCCAGCAGTCAAAAACTGAGTTTGCCAATTACTCGTGCAGTAATTTTAGGATTAAGTTATGCTACTGCGCTATAGTAAAGTCCTTCAGTTATAATATGCATACAAGTTCATTTTGTGTATTTAAATAGCAATATATGTACAGTATTCCAGTCTGATGGGTGTTAAAAGACTACAGCTGTTAAGACCACCAAGGTAAGTTGAAATTTCTGTTGTTTCTATTTTACGTTTATAATGTTACTTTAACAATGTAAATATATGTTTATTATATGTGAAAATATGAATTAAATTTATTGTGGTATAAAATATTAATTTCATATGCACTAAAAACTTGAGTAACTTAAATCTAAGCGTAACTTAGATAAGGTCTGCCCCAATGATCTAAACGATATCTGCATTGTAATTAAAGCAATTATTAAGCGACAGTCTATTTTTGTGCATGAGCGGGCGTGATGATGCCAGGTTCATGAGTGGGCGTGAGGATGCCAGGTACATGAGCAGGCGTGAGGATGCCGGGTACATGAGCGGGCGTGAGGATGGCAAATATATGAGTGGGCATGAGGATAGCAGGTAAATGAGAGGGCGTGAGGATGCCAGGTACATGAGCAGGCGTGAGGATGCCAGGTACATGAGCAGGCGTGAGGATGCCGGGTACATGAGCGGGTGTGAGGAGGCCAGATACATGAGAGGGCGTGAGAATGCCAGGTACATGAGCAGGCGTGAGGATGCCGGGTACATGAGCGGGCGTGAGGAGGCCAGATACATGAGAGGGCGTGAGGATGCCAGGTACATGAGCAGGCGTGAGGATGGCAGGTACATGGGCGTGAGCGTGCGCGAGGTTGTGAGGTGGGGGCGGGCGTGGGTGGGTAGATGCCGGGGTCGAGGCAGCAGCAGGAGCAGTGTGCGCTGAGGCACGGTGGTGGTGGCAGGGTGGAGAGTGCGGCTCGCTTCCTTCATCCCGATCAATGACACTGGTGCGTGTTAAGCGTTAAAAAGGTGTAATCATGTGCTTCGAGGTTTAACTTTGGACGGAAAACTCGGTAAAACTGAAAAACAATAGCTGGCAAAACAGATGAAAACAATACAATTAGACCCCCGAGTGAGCAAATACTACACCTCTAGTTCTTTAGGTGATATCAGAAAACCGTATAGATTTCAATGTTGCTATTTGTGTACGCTGTTCAGTTACATTGATATTGGACAATGAAACGAAGATAACCAAAAAGCTAAGCAAATCTCACATGCAATGTAATTACAATAAGCGTAATATAAAATAAATAACTATTATTGGTAAAAGATTCGAATAAGCGTTCATACACTAAAGAGTGTACTTATTGCTAAAACTATGACACAAGAGCAATAACGCCTTTAACTAATTCCAGTACAGCGTTCTCAAAATATAAAAAAGTGGGGAAATATATTAAAAAAAACTAAAGCTCTTAAGGAAGAACTGTCATTTGGATATAGCCTGGTTCTCCAACCACCTGACAAGGGTAGCTTCAAGAGCCGAGCCAAGACAGCTACTGTGCTGGTGCGTGCTGGCATACAATGGCATACCCCTGCATGGTGTTTGGCGTGTAATTAAACGTGTGTATGTGTGACTGAGAGAGTCAGCGGTGCAGAACTCCCGGTGATTTACCAGGTAAGTTAAGAGGCAGATGCCTAGTCTACTCTGTGAACTAACATTTGACACTTCCTCTCTCTAGTCATTATAAACTGGGGCCTGTAGGTTATTAATTAATGTATGGCTTGCTGTGTAGCGGGCATAAATTTTTCATATAATTTCTTTATATTATAATTTATGTTCTAAGAGTCACGAACGAAACTGTATAATTGCTTAAAAATTAATATTATGGTAGGCTGTTTTTGTTCAGAAACATCTCTTCAGCCCAATTCAATTCAGTCCGTTATCACGATTTGTCATTCTGTAAAAAATGCAGTTGTTTTGCCTAAACAGAAACGTTCAAACTCAAGTAACCCACTTGACATATTTTAGCCAAGGCATAAAAAACGTTAGCATTGCAGTGCTTAAATTTTTACTAAAAACTCAATTTGTAATTTTGACAGATTGGTCGATTCACTTAAAATGCAGTGTATTAGGTGAAAAACAGACAATATTTGCTTGTAATTGCCTCGAAGTGGAATCCTAGGTAGTATTTGCTAAAGGTTCAATCACCGATGTTTCCGACCTAGAGTAGGCGTTCAATCCCCGACCATGCAAATGGTTGGGCACCATTCCTTCCCTCCGCCCCATCCCAATTCCTTTACCTGATCCCATCCAAATGCTATATAGTCGTGATGGCTTGGGGCGTTTCCCCTTGATAATTCCTTTCTCTTACCCTTGACCAATGAATGGAACTGGAATTACAATGTAAGCTAGTTTCACGACCGTTCTGAAAAACTAAGGGAGGCGGGGGCCGGGGGTGGGGGGGGGGGTGGAGTATAAGAATTGGTGTCGGATTCCAGTAGATAGTGGAACAGGTTAGTATAGTTCATTTATTATGCAACCATATACATCCTGTGCCCGGGCCGTGGTGAAATGGTGACATCGGTACATAACGGGTTCAAAAATTGAACCATTATTTGTTTATCTCCGTAGGTTACAGCATTGTGAACGTAAGGTAAATACATTTATCTTTTAGTGCCATGTTTAGGTTGGAGTTCCGAGGCTGGACAATGTTTCATATATAGAAAGAACTATATAGTTAGTGCTAAAGTAAACAAAGGCCAAAATAATGATTGTGACAAATCAGACATAAATAGCAAAGTCTATACAGGAGCGCTCTTGTACCAGGTAAGTCGACTACGGGCTCACCATAGCCCATGCTACATTGGAACTTTTGTTCCGAGTAGCTGAATCTAAAACAAACATGGTGAAGGCCAGGGAGGTGACAACGTTGGACATATTTCTGAAGCTTTGATATGTATGTTTTTGTAATATTATTGAATTTGTTGCTGGGAGTGTGAGAATTGAATGGAATGCATGCTAAAGTAATAATATCTAAATTGCATGTGAAATACAATGACGATGTTGGTGATATAGCATGGGTATAGTGAATGTTGGTTGTGATAATCTTGGCATCTATGCAAAATCTGGTGATGATAATGATGTAATTCTTATAGTAGTGACTGATCGTTAAACGCCATACTCTGTAATTCAAAAGGTCTGTGGAGGGGGGGAATAGATGTTAGTGAATGATTAGAATAATCATCTTCGTGCTGATATGAAAGCGGAGCCGGTCGGCCGAGCGGACAGCACACTGGACTTGTGATCCTGTGGTCCCGGGTTCGATCCCGGACGCCGGCGAGAAACAATGAGCAGAGTTTCTTTCACCCTATGCCCCTGTTACCTAGCAGTAAAATAGGTACCTGGGTGTTAGACAGCGGTCAGCTGTCATGGGCTGCTTCCTGGGGTGGAGGCCTGGTCGAGGACGGGCCGCGGGAACACTAAAAAAGCCCTGAAATCATCTCAAGATAGCATCAATGTAATCGCATAATATCGAATAATGGAAAGTGAAAGAATATTAGTGAGTTTTGGCGACTTGGGGCAAGAAAAACAGGTTCAGTTTCCTGGACTGGTTGTGGCAGGGGCTATATTTTGTATTTGTAATTATGAATATTAAATATTTTTATATAACAAAGTTTACGGTATTCTAGTGCACGTTTCAGACTAAAACATAATTCAGTGTTTTAGCAATATGTAAATAAAATATTTAGTTTATATTAAGATAAAGCTTCGAGCTTTGGGCTGTTGTAGGACCTCAGAAAATAGGTTAGCCTCGGAAGGGATAGGCATTTAGTGAAGAGATAAAAAGCATCGTGGGCATCGATGTCACCTATCCTGTCTTCCATCCTTCCGAGGGCTGTGATTTTCTTATCGAGGATTTCAATGGCGTTAGACCCGAGGGGGGCTCCAAGGAGAGTGCTGTTCACAGTCCTAATCACATGGGTTCCGGACAAGACAGATCTTATTCTAGCTATGATGTCTAGGTTGGAGGAGACTACTTCACACCTGGAAGGGTTTAGGAAGAGACCCGGCCAGGCTTGATTCTTGCTCCTTTATTTTTCTGATGTCTTCCAAGAGGTGGTCTAGGGGGCCAGCTATAGTGCCATCATCAAAAAACCAGATGTTTTTGATGCAAATGTGTCAGATGCAAAAACACGCTGAAGAAGCTTTCGGGGATTTCTTTTAAGACTAAGCAGAAACGAGGAAGGAATTTATCAGAGGAAAGCGCCAAGCCATTACGACTATATAGCACTTGGAAGGGGGTCAGGATAAGGATTTGGGATGGGACGGGACGGGGAGGGAAGGAATGATGCCTAACCACTTGGATGGTCGGGGATTGAACGCCGACCTGCATGAAGCGAGACCGTTGCTCTACCGTCCAGTTCAAGTGGTTGGAGGAGTTAAAGCTCTACCGTCCAGCCCAAGAGGAGCTAAAGGATCACCTTGCTAAACACCTTCAAGTGATCTGATTTCGTATTCGCCAAAGATCAAAGAGCAATTTTGATTCACCTCTGTAGGAAGATAGTATGAACGGGATATATGTATATATATATATATATATATATATATATATATATATATATATATATATATATATATATATATATATATATATATATATATATTAGTATATTTTGGTAGCAGTCTTTCCTGTAGACATATATTATTAAATATGACCGAAAAAGTAAGATTAATAATTCTAACACGAATTTTCTCAATCTTTCGTACATTACGCTTCACTGTTGGAGGTAAATCAAAAATCACTTCTCCAAAATTCATTTTTATTTCTAGTCTGACGCGACACGGGCGCGTTTCGTAAAACTTATTACATTTTCAAAGACTTCACAAATACACAACTGATTAGAACTTACGTCTCTCTGATATTATATCTACATTTGAGTGAGGTGGGAAGGGTGATGTGGCATTAACACAAGACAGAACAGGAGGGGATATTAATAGGGTATTAAAAGTATCAACACAAGACAACAGAAACAATGGGTATTGAATAGAAGTGTTTGTAGAAAGCCTATTGGTCCATATTTCTTGATGCTTCTATATTGGAGCGGAGTCTTGAGGTGGGTAGAATATAGTTGTGCAATAATTGGCTGTTGATTGCTGGTGTTGACTTCTTGATGTGTAGTGCCTCGCAAACGTCAAGCCGCCTGCTATCGCTGTATCTATCGATGATTTCTGTGTTGTTTACTAGGATTTCTCTGGCGATGGTTTGGTTATGGGAAGAGATTATATGTTCCTTAATGGAGCCCTGTTGCTTATGCATCGTTAAACGCCTAGAAAGAGATGTTGTTGTCTTGCCTATATACTGGGTTTTTTGGAGCTTACAGTCCCCAAGTGGGCATTTGAAGGCATAGACGACGTTAGTCTCTTTTAAAGCGTTCTGTTTTGTGTCTGGAGAGTTTCTCATGAGTAGGCTGGCCGTTTTTCTGGTTTTATAGTAAATCGTCAGTTGTATCCTCTGATTTTTGTCTGTAGGGATAACGTTTCTATTAACAATATCTTTCAGGACCCTTTCCTCCGTTTTATGAGCTGTGGAAAAGAAGTTCCTGTAAAATAGTCTAATAGGGGGTATAGGTGTTGTGTTAGTTGTCTCTTCAGAGGTTGCATGGCTTTTCACTTTCCTTCTTATGATGTCTTCGATGAAACCATTGGAGAAGCCTATTAATATCCCCTCCTGTTCTGTCTTGTGTTAATGCCACATCACCCTTCCCACCTCACTCAAATGTAGATATAATATCAGAGAGACGTAAGTTCTAATCAGTTGTGTATTTGTGAAGTCTTTGAAAATGTAATAAGTTTTACGAAACGCGCCCGTGTCGCGTCAGACTAGAAATAAAAATGAATTTTGGAGAAGTGATTTTTGATTTACCTCCAACAGTGAAGCGTAATGTACGAAAGATTGAGAAAATTCGTGTTAGAATTATTAATCTTACTTTTTCGGTCATATTTAATAATATATATATATATATATATATATATATATATATATATATATATATATATATATATATATATATATATATATATATATATATATATTAGTATATTTTGGTAGCAGTCTTTCCTGTAGACATATATTATTAAATATGGCCGAAAAAGTAAGATTAATAATTCTAACACGAATTTTCTCAATCTTTCGTACATTTCTTTTCACTGTTGGAGGTAAATCAAAAATCAATTCTCCAAAATTAATTTTTTATTTCTAGTCTGACGCGACACGAGCGCGTTTCGTAAAACTTATTACATTTTCAAAGACTTTAGTTTACAAATACACAACTGAATAGAACTTACGCATCTCCGATTTTATATCTACATTTTAGTGAGGTGGATGGGGTGAGGTGGCATTAATAGGGTATTAATTTCATCAACACAAGACAGAACAAGAGGTGGCATTAATAGGGTATTAATTTCATCAACACAAGACAGAACAAGAGGTGGCATTAATAGGGTATTAATTTCATCAACACAAGACAGAACACGAAACAATGGGTATTGAATAGAAGTGTTTGTAGAAAGCCTATTGGTCCATATTTCTTGATGCTTCTATATTGGAGCGGAGTCTTGAGGTGGGTAGAATATAGTTGTGCATTAATTGGCTGTTGATTGCTGGTGTTGACTTC